TTATTTCAATTATGAAACTGTTCTTATCTCAACCCACGAGTCTTCTCACTTTTACTCTTCTGATTCTCTCCCCATCCCACTAGAGCAGAGGGAGGGAGTGAGCGGCAGTGTGGTGCTTAGTTTCTGGCTAGGGTTAAACCACAACAACGTAAAATGCACAAAATACTTAATACAGAATTCCAATTCCCCTCATGGCTACTGTTAGTAATATTAGGTGGTTTTTGTAACATCAAATAAATGAAAAACATCCATGGAAAAGACAACAACTATGCAGTTGACAACCTTCCTCTATTTCACTGTGTCAATAACCAAGCCTTTGCAGCAAAATTAATCCAAATTCTGCATCAATAGTGCTGCAGACTGGAATTTCTGTGGCATTTTGTGATATTTTTAAAAAATGAGATTTCATAAGTGCAGTAGGATAAGACAGCATGCGTTACGTGAATGCTGTAGCATTCTCTTTCAAATGTGAACATTTGCTGAAGTACCTTCTTTGGACAGGCTCACTGAAATCAACAGAAAATCTTCAAAATTGTAAAATTAACCATCTGCATATGACTTTGAAGGATCTGGAGCATTTAAAACTTTGGAGCCCAACTCTTTCTCAACACTACTAGTGATGTAATGTCTGCTCACTTAATTATACTTTGCCATAATTGCAATTGTTACAAGGTAGCTTATGTAGAAAATGAAAAAAACAAAGAAACCCAGAAAATTCCTTTGGAGAAAGATGAACACAGGTAATTGGGGCAAAAGTATTTTATATAGCATGAAAGGCAGTTGGCATTTGAATTATGCATGCTACAAAAAAAAAAAGAGACTATCATAATATTTAACGAAGTATGTGGTCTCTCTGCAAAAATTGATTTTCAAACAACACATATCAGAGCTACTGCTTATGCACCTGGGAAGGTAGATAGATACCTCAGTGTGCACAAGGCTAGACTTCTGGAATACATTGCTTCAGCAAATTCATGCCCATGGACTAAATGAAAGCCTTATTAAAGCCAGCAGATGATCCACATCTAAACCATCATTTTTTACCAAAGGAGAACAAGAGAGAATTTGACAGGTTCTTGCTTTGCTGCCTTTCTCCTTTTCACACTCCTCAGTTACTATTAAAGCATCTAACAAGATTTTCCAAATGCTAATAATATCGCTGCATTTGATTTATGTTGTTCTCAAATGTATTGTGAGACCCCTAGTAAAGACAAAAATTAGCAAAAGTAGAGTGCTGGCGTTGCCATTCGCAAAGATATCTTAACAAAAATTTTTGTCCACTTTAGACTTTAATTATACATGATTGCCTACAGGAGTTTTTCTTGGAAATGCTGAGGAAAATCACAATCTTTCAGCCTGTTGCAGGAACAAAAATGTAAGTTATTTCAAAAATTTAATTTAAATACAGCTCATCTCCAGAAGAGGCAAGAGGCATTTTCTGGAGTTAAGGCATTAAATTACAACTTTCTACTCCTTTAGAAATCTGTGTGTAATATACTCGTTTGCATGAATTTAAAAAATTGCAAGCTCAGCCTACAAAAACTTTTATTTTTGATACTTGTATTTGCATTCAGACAGAGATTTTTGGAAGACCTTCATTTTCTCTGAAAAATCCCAGTTTCAGTGTGTGAGTCTGTCCATAAATGCAAATAAACTATTAAGCTACCGGATTAAATTCTGACTTTTCTCTGGTGAAAAATTGAAAACCTCATATTACCATAATGCACTACATACTGTAAACACTTGTCTTGTTTTCATATCCATGCCTTTCTTGGATTTTTATTTTTTTACTCATTGATATCTGATAATGTTCACTGGCTGCAGGGCCACAGAGCACTGTAAGGTGGATCATTATATTATTGGATGCAAGACAGAACAGAATTGGACAGTAAAAAATGTGTTTCTTTATTTTGTATATGCATCTGCATGTAGAAAAAGCACCCAGGAAAGCAAGAAAGAGGATTGTGCCTCGTTAAATATTTTTAAGAAATTTACACCTTTTCCTTGTTAAATTTGCTAATAAAAGGAGGACTCTCTGCTGCCAAATACCAAATGTTTGTATGTGCAACACAACTTTGGATTCTCCTCACTGCTTAATTCTAGGACTGCCATCCCTTGAATGCAGGAATGTCGCTGTTGCTTGCATATGGTAGTTACTGCTGCTTTGCAGTAAGGAATTTGTTGTCTAAATAAGGGAAAGCAAAATTCTTCAGTTTCTTGTACTGTAAACCGGGTAAGCACATGCAGAGAACTGAGACTTAGAATTCCTCATCTGATATATACATGTTTTCTTATCAGCCAAAGTAAACCATTGCATCCTTTTTCAGACCATGTTCCTCAGTGCTTAATAACGTTATCCTTGGCACAAGGCAGGAGTATTTGAATTAAGATTTAGTGTGTTAATCCAAACCAAGTAATTTGAGTTGAAGCTAGACCTGGGTAAGTCTAGACTAGCTCTTTCAGACCACTCAGCAAAGGTGCTCTGGTTTCTTAGAGGAGCTATAAAGGTTCATTTCCTGCATATGAGGACTTGGATGTCAAGGGGGAGTATTTCTAGAAGTATGTATAGTTCAGTCTGCATTCTCTGTGTAGTGATCACATCTTCAACATTTTGACTGAACATTCTTTGACACAGTACTAATTTTCTCTCTCTTCAAATTCATGCAGCCACATACCCTGAGTTTAACAGAATGTTTGGGGTTTGTTTAACTTCAAATACTGATACAAAGATTGTTAGGAAAAAAAGGGCAAAACTGTGTGGTGTGGCTTGTTTGCAATGGCTGTAGAGAGAAACTAAATACTGGAAAATCCCATTTCTAAGTAGAAATTAAAGACGAAAGAACAGGCGAGAGGATAAAGAGGTAGAAAGAAGAAGAGGCCATGAACAAATAATGTTTTTTCCACTGAATCTTTATGATAAACTCTAGCATGTCAGCTTGCAATATATATGAACCTTTCACAAAGGACAGAAAAGGTGGTAGAGTTTGAAAGGAGCTAGTCTGAGGAAAGTAGGAGAAAGGAGACTGCTCTATTCAAAGGATTCACTAAAAGAGGAGAGATGCGAAAATAAAATAGACCATGGTGAAGGACTGCAATTCTTTATCCTATGTCCACTGGTGCATGCCAGGGTAACTAAGAAATCTACAACATTCAAACAGCCAGGTAGGCATATAAATCCATACTCTGTGACAGAAACATAAGGAGGAAGGTAATCATTTGTGGCACAACCACAGCATGGAAGGTGTCTAGCTGAGAAGACACAGCTGGCCACTGAAATGGATGCCAAACACACTGACTGTTACAGCTAGTGGAAAAATTGCCTTTAAGTGCAGTCAGAGAGACCCAAATATTGTTTAATGCCAGTCTGAAAAAACTGAAGGCTTTGGACAATAAGGAGGGGCACAGCTGTAAACAGCCTCGTATTTGTACTGTGGCTGTGGAAATACTGTCTGGATGAGAGTGCCACTGGTAAAATGGCTTATCCTGAATTCTAGCAGGCTAAATCAAGTCCCTGCCATTCTGTTGGTACCTAACTGAGCTACAGATATATAAATAAGGTCATGCCTATCTTGGTGAGCATACCTGTAGCTATGCCTACAATTTTGAAGTCTACCACAAACTTATGCTTGCGTCAGTACTAAGTGTAGAAGATATTCTCCAGATGCAAACCCTTCTTATGCCAAAGCCATTTTTAGGCGTTCAGATGGGATGAGCCTAGGAAATTCTACCTCTAGAATTAGTGCTGCCTGCTGAAATGACATACCCACATGCTGTGTCCCCACATTTTTCCCAGTATTTGCTGCACTGTTTATACTGACGTGCACAATTTCTCATACAATCTTGCTGCAGATGCTGACTTGGAAGCAATGCTAGGCAAAAGTACTAATTGTTTTAAGTGCCCAGACAGGTTCAGAAAATGCAAAATATTTTGAGATGCCTGTCCATAAATCCCCTTACTGTTCTGGGCTTCTCCTGTCGTTCTTTCCTTTTTAAATGTGTGTCTCCTTCATTCTGTGGAAATATATACAGTTGGAGTAGCTGGCTGACTGTACACTGATTGTAAGAAACAAAACCACAGAGGAGTAGTGATTTAGATTCTATGGTTTTAGTCTAACCTGAAATTAGAAGTGTCCTCAGTAATGAGGCTGCAATAGAGCCTATCAGATAGCAGTAACCATCACTTATGGAGCAACAGTAGCCTTCAACAGAAAAAATAAAACAAGCTTTAGTGGCATGATGGCAAAACCAGCTAACCTCTATTCATATTAGTATTCACATAGTTTATGCCACTGGTGGAGCTAGTTGCTATCATTGACAACATACTGCTGAGATCAGTATACATCCTGATTCTCCTGTAGTCACCAAGACCAATCAGAATTTCACCTGGTCCTCACACACAACTCCTTGACATGGAAAGAGCCTTTGTGCCAAGGGACAAAGGTGTGGATAACAAATCATTGTGTTTCCATTTTGGTTTATTCCTGAGACCGATTCAGGAATCTGATCCACTCAACTTCTTGAGCTGGTTTCAAAAAGACCCTGAAAGATGTGCACTCAGCACTGATGATGCGCTGAAAAGAGTAAAAGTGATGGCAATTCAAGACTGCCATCTGCTGAGGGGCAGAACTTCAACCAGTGCAGTGTTATCACCAGGGGGATTCAGTGCCTATGGTGAACATATTAGTCTGGTTGTCAGATCCAGCTCTGGGCCACCAGATTTTCACCTGAAGATGAAAACCACTCTAAATCCAAAGGAGCCAAAGGGCACAGAGGATGAGGCCACTACTTGAAGGCAAGTGAGTTAGAAGAGGTTTCCTTTTATGCTGACAGACTCTCTAACCTTGTCATTGCAATGGCACAGAAAGAGATTAATGAAAAGTCAGATGGCCCTGACCTATGTTTTGCTGTTCTTGGAAAGCCTAGTCATAAATCTGTTGGGCTGGGTACAAATAAATATAAAACTAATCCATCGGCAAATGTTACTTATGTCAATACAGAAGAAACTAAACATGAAGAGAGTCCACCTTCCAAGAAGACATTATTTTGTAAAGAAATAAGCCAGTCTTCCAATAGAAATGAGTTTTTCCAGAAGAGAAGGGCAGGACAACAAGAGAAGGGAAAATGCCATCACAAAAACATTTTGGCCAAGATGAATTTGCAAATAATTTAAGCAAAGAGATACTAATTTATGCAAATAATGTGTTTTCAATCATGGTGGTCTCAGATATGAAGACCATGAAAGGTCAGGCAAATTACTCAAATATAGCTTGTATTGTGCTGAAAATGTGTTACTGAAGCACTCTAAGGCTGTGGTTTCAGACTTAATAAACTCCTGTATGAAAAACTTACATGACCTAGCAGGCAGACTCTTTACTAATTCATATTTTGCTTCTTCAGTGAAGCTGACTGTTCATCCTAGGCAGTCGTAAGGCTGCAGAAATTGTACAAGCAATGTTGAATCATTTGTATTCTACCTTGATAGTACAAAAACCTGGAGGAGATAACATCTAGCATATGCCTCTGTGAAGACAGGTTCATGAACAGAGGCAAAGACTCAGAATTGAAGTTTGCAGCAACAAGGACTGAAACATAGCCGAAAGAAAAAGAAATGACCTGTGCAGACACAGTGGGTAACCACACTGTTAAGCAAGGGTTTACCCTCTGGCATTAAAACCAAAACCAACGCAGCCAATGCTCAAAATCACAACCAGGAAGGGAAGGTGAAACAAGATCACCATGGAATATGCCCTGGAGTTCAGAAATTTGGGATGCAGCAAAATGTTACCGGATTCAAGGGCTTGACTGTGATTGCATTATTGCCCATAGATTGTCATCTAATCTAGCAGAAGAATGCCAACAAGAAAGCAACAGAAGGTAGCAATGTTAGCAAAGCAGGTTCCACTGCTTTTGGGTTGTTTTATAGGAGTCCCATGGTCCCACCCTCCAAACATTTCCAGAAAGATGTCAGGATCCATCAAAAGAAGCTGAAGAATCGGATTCACAGTCAGACACTGGATGGCAGAAGCCTGAAAACGACATGTCCAGTGCTACATTAATGCTAATCTGGAAGTTACTAAACAAAAATAGAAGAGGGGTTTTTGTTTGCAAAGTAGACAGTCAGCCTGGAAATCCAATTGTTGATGAAACAAACCAAAACACTGGGAAAAACACTAAGGGACTTATTGACCTTTCAGACACTGAGCAATCTTGTGAAGAAGCCACATCTGGACTGACTAAAATGCTTACTGATCAAATCAATCTGAGCAGAGGAGACAGCAGCAGCACACAATTTAGTGGCAGTCTGGTGGATACAGTGCTAAAGCTGTGTCTTATCATAGTTAAATACAGCAACCCTGAGTCACTTCTGGCGGAGCCAGGGAGCAGTGATGATGGCACAGGAACAGTAGGCTCTAAGGGCATGGGAACTGCTAACTCCATGGCTGGATCCAGTAAAGGTACTGTACAGGACGCAGGGTGGTAGTGGTGAATCAAAATCCTTCTGAAAATGTATGTAACAGCTCTGAGCCCTTCTGCAGTGGGTGACTGCCTCTCAGGCAGACATGCCTGTGCTTTGCTTCTTGGATGGTGAAGAGGAGTTCATGTATAAGGTGAGCAAGGCAGAAATTAGAACCTGATTGTACTTAGTTGTTTGGTTGTTTCCCCCAATCTTACTGCCGTATGGGGAACAAAGATTTTCTTAATAAAATCTTTTCTAGGCATTTCTTTTTTTAAGCTAGTGCCCAGAGTAGCAGTGTGGTAATACTAAATCTACTGTCTTGTTACAAAATAGTAAAGTAATAGGAATTAAAGACATGAAGAAAAGTATGTTCCTAAAGGAAAGCTGAGCTAAAGCTCAGCACAAAGGTGATGCAAAATTATCTTATATGCTGTATTTCCCACAAATTCAGTGGCTCTAATTTTAAAGGTAACAATACATTTGCTTTCAACATTTATTACGTAAATTAAGATGTTTACATTCAGAAATGTTCTAATAACAATGCCATTTAATACAAAAATATTTACATTATAATCATTCTGAGCTGTTCACAAACATTTTTACCTGTGTTACTGAATTGCTATGGATTCTGAGTATCCAAATAATTCAGAATCCCAAATTTCTTTTCACTCTGAATTTATTACATTTCTTTCAGCTTGGACAATGAAGAGCAGTCTGAGTTGTGTTTGGAGTCTTCTCCCCTTTACTAATGACCCAGCAGACAGCAGCTCTTTACCTCTTGTAATCATTCTGTTTGGCAGCCTCTTACAGAATCCAGCCATGGACAATGTAAGCCTCCATCAGCATGATGGAAGAAGAGGACTGAGATGCATCTGCTACATCATGCTCAGTCACACACACAGACACGTGCATGTGCACAGTCTCTTCAGATCCACTTTAAAATAACTGACCTTGTCAGTACATCTGGTATATCACACCTGTACATCACTTCTGGTGTATAACACACTTCTGTTGTGTTTCTGGTTTTCCACAGCTTCAGAAACTATCATCAGTCACAGTAGAGAAGGGATACAAAGTAGGAGAAATTTTACAAGCAATGCTGAAATACAAGAAGGAAAGGCAGTCTGGTGAGGCTGTAGGCAACTCTGTTCAGTTGCCAGTCTTGAACTGGCTGCTTAATAACTTGTGAGCAGGGCCATTGGCTGTCATGTCCTCACCAGCAGTGTGATGCTGGGCCAGCAAAGCACAGCATGCTGATGTCAGCCAAGCATTTAGCAGAACTCTGTCATCTCAGACTCAGTTATACACCAGCGATTCATAGGAGCTGATGTTAGTTGCACAAATACAACTGCTTTGTACAAATTGTACAAATACAATTGCCTGCTTGGCAAACATATGAATTAAAAAAGCATGCAGAATGGCTGGGGAAATCTGTCTGAAAAAATGTCCGTCGCAAAAACTACTGTTTACCTGCCTCCTTGAAGAAAATTTTGTGTGCTCTTCTTGGCTGCCTCTACCACAGAGTTCCCATCCTTCCTGATTATCTTTCTTCAGGCCCAGTGCAGAGGGACCTAAGCTCTTTACTTCAAGTTTTCACTGTGCTTGCAGTCAAGCCCAGGAGATGCTGCGTCATTGCCAGGTTTGTTTCTTCTCTGTACACACTGAATGCAATACAGCTTGATTCTCCCTCCGTTTGTTAGATAACTGCCCATGAATGGAATAAGAAAGTGGGAGCAGCCAAGGAAAGGCAAGCTCCTTGCTCTCTGGAGCAGCTTGGGGTTTGCACCAAACCAGACTGTCAGTCATGCACTCTCACCAGTCCTTGTCCTCCAGCAAGCACTATCGGTTTAGCATTCCTCAAACTTCGCTCTTTATCCACTTGAAAGCATTTGCGGGTTTGAGGCTGGAGTCTAAACAACCAAGATTTTTGTTCTGTAATATGTAGTCTGTTCTTTAGAAATCTGCATAGTGATATGAGAAAAATCACAGAGATACAGGGAGAGCATGTTGTGACACAAATTTAGGGGCTGGAGATTAAGAGTGATTTTATATAATGTGGAAAATAGAGGAAATAGTATATTATTGAATTTTTTTTGTAATGCCAATAAGAAAAAGACAAAAATTACCACTGAGGGCATGGAATATGACCCAGAAAAACATTTAATTTATAACATAAGGAGAGATTGCATACAGTATCAGGAGAGACAGAATAATATAATATTTATAATATAATTT